GCATTTCTAAAATCAATTCGTACAAACAGCACCACACATTAGATTATCTGCAAAAGCCTGTAACTTACTCAAAATCTTTAGGTCATCTCTCAAAAGTAAGTATTTATGTCAATGAACATATGAGTGCCATCAGAATGAAAAGTCCTTGTGTCATTGTTCACAAACAAGATAGTCAAAATGCTTAGTCATGTTGTCAATATAACAGTGCACTTTGTTAGTATTACCTGATGTAAACTATGGCATCATTTTGGATGTCAGTTACTGTACTGAACAGTATGCCATATGCTTATGTATGCCATATATCCATTTCAAAAGTACAAATTTACACATTACTGTATGTGGGATATTGATTGAAAGAGACTTGATAGAATTCCCAGTTACACTTTTACTAGTGGTCTGACCAAAAAAACACGCTGCAGAAACTGCTTTTATGATGTGTACAAATGACTAGATGATGTGGAAGTTGTACAAGTAGTTTTGAGAATTTCATTTCTGATTTGAGAAATGCACCAAAGCGACTGAGAAAAACTGTAAAGGAGAGCTGTCAGAAGCTGTCAAAGTCTTCTGTCCCTGTGATCCATATGCACTTTCAAGTGGCCACAGAAAGCCTCGTGACCGCTTTTCAGATGATTAGATATACTAGAACTTACATTGACTTTACGGTCTGCCTGTGCACGCAGGGATGATCAAACATGCTGACTAAATCTACAATCAGTCACAGTTGCTGGGGTATGTAGGGACTTTTCATCACCAACAAAAGGAAACAAGTCAAATGCTGTGAAAGGAAACGTATCGATAGAAACATTCATTACTTAGTAACCGTTTGTCCGTTAGAGATGACCAGTCCATTTCTAACATTGTTTGTTTGTTTATTCTGAAGTATTATGATGCACCATGTTTTATGTTCCTCACTATGTATTTGTGTACACACGTGTGTATCCTGTTGTATATGGGCTTGAACATAACATGAGCACCTTGTTTTTATGAAGTATGGAAGTAATTATTTTAAGATAGACGTGACGTTAATCACCAATGTATCTTATCATCATATTCTGTATTTTGAAGCGTGTCTGTAATGTGAGGCACTTCATCTGCATATGACTATTTTCTGTACAAAAAAAATACTTTTAAAGATGTTGTAATATATGTGAAAGTGAAAAGATATTGCTCAGTTTTACAGGCTGTAAATACCTATTAAAATAGGGCTTTTTTAAAAATACAAGGGATTATCTTTATACGTAATATGCAGATTTTTCAGAGACTAATATAATAAAAAAAAATATTCAACTGTTCAATGTTTGAGAAAAATGAAGGCTTGTCATCTTAAAGGGATACTTCAGCCAAAAATGAAAAAAAAAAAAAACTGTCATCGTTTATTCACCTTCATGTCAGTCCAAACGTGTATGACTTTTTTCTGAGAAACACAAAAGAAGACATTTTGAAGAATTTTGTTTTGACATTTTTAGGACAAAAACAAGTGCTGTTGTGTTCTACAGAAGAAAGTCAGGTTTGGAACAACATGGAGGTGAGTAAATGATGACAGAAGTTTCCATTTTTGGCTGAACTGTCCCTGTAAACGCACATTAAACGGTTTAAGTTTTTATGAACAATCAAATCAAATGTTCAGCTCATTACAGTATTTGGCCGGTGCTGCCTCATTTTTTACAATTTCAGTGTTTTTATACTGACTCTAAAAATGTGAATAAAGCAAAAACAACCCAAATGAAATGAGCGTTTCCAACACAGTATTCAAGAGTCATGATGAGCAACCAATATACAAGTATAGATACCAGTAAGATTTCATTTCTTAAAAAAAAAAAAAAAAAGCTACCACATTAAATAATAATTGACATCATGAAAGCTCTAGAAATACACAATCATTCAAAAGTTTAGTGTTTTCTTTTTTATTATTTTTTATAAAGAAGTTAATCCCTTTCAGCGCTCAGCCAGGGCATATTACATTGATCAAAAATGACAGGCATTTATAATGTTACAAAATATTTAAAATAAATGCTGTTCTTTTAAGCTTTCTATTCTAAGAATCCTGAAACAAAAATGTATTATGGTTTTCACAGAAGTGTTAAGCAGCACAACTGTTTCAGCACTGATAATAGAAAGAAATGTTTCTTGAGCACCAAATAATTTCTGAATGATTACGACAACGAAGACTAAAGTAATGGCTGCTAAAAATTCAGCTTTGCCATCACAGGAATAAAATGCTTTATAAAATATATTAAAATAGAAGACAGTTATTTGAAATTGTAGCAATATTTCACAATATTACTGTAATTTTGTTCAAATAAATGCAGCCTTGGTGAGCGTAATTTAAAAATCTCCCAACATTTTGATTTGTTAGAATATCCACACAACTTCAGGGCCTTTTTATAACTAGAAACATAGGATGTGCAAATAAAACTTTGAGTCGTATGAAACATTTCCACTGATACTGCTTTCAGTGTGTTAACTCAGTTTTCCCTTAAGGGTACGAGCAACCTCACAGTGATCCTATAAGTTCTTTCAGTAAATGGCATTCACTAAAGAGGATCACAGCTGAGCTACTGTTTGATCCATACTCTCATCTGCAAAGATCATCTAAATGTCAGGTCAAATAGTGAATTAAACTATTGTTCCTTTCCATGAAAGAAAATAAATGAGTTCCCTATTGACACAGGGCTTTTCAAAGAAACATGAAGGCATTGACTTCACGATAACAATCTTCCTCAGTGACAAAGCAGCTGGGCTGATTCCGGGCATGTTTAACAAGTATTATATAACACAGAATCTTAAAGTTACTAGCCGGCAATCACTAATAATCAAATAGCATCACTCTGTTTGGCCAGCGAGTCTTTACTTTTAGGCGCAATGTGACATGTGCTGACTTAACATGCAGCTAACATGCTAACCTCTGCTAAAAAGGCCAGACAAATAAAACTCACCATTCGCTGGACAATACATCGTCAAAAGTGGTAACTGACTTGTATTTTAATAAAAAAATTTACCTTTATTTGAGAAATACTAAAAAAATCCTCCACCATTCCATCTTAGTTTTTGTTAGCATACATACTTCTGAAGTTCTGTGATAACTCCACATATAATCCTGGAGAGAAGGTTTCTTTAACAATACAACAACATACAGTATATTCACTTGGTGTTTTTAGTGTATTTGTTCCTGTGTGGGCCTAACGGTGATTTATTTCTGGACAATAACATCAGTATATAATACTAAACTCATATTAAGCGCGGGAAAAAAGTGAATTGTTCATGTTCAGAATTGGTCGCTTATGTAAGAACTGATTCAGAAAATAACATACACCCTACTGATGAAAAGAATGCATTGTGAAAATGTCAGGTTATTTTCATGACTGAGAAAATTTATATTTTCTGCCGTTAGCTACTCAGTGATTTGTATACAGGCGAGATAATTATAGTATCAATTTAAATTGGGTGTTACCACTCAATACCATCAACTTTTAACTCTGTGATTTCAGATTTGACAGCCCGTATTAGCAACTGTAACCACACCTCCATGTATTCACCTAATCACATGTGTGCCAGGATGACTGGACACTCCAGTTTAACCTGACAGACTAAGACTTTAAAGACCTGCCTCCATATTATGTGTAATAACAGTAATGATGTATGCATTTAACATTAACTGTACTCATCTAAGTGCTGCAAATTAAAGAGATTAATGGGTGTGTTTAACATTTTAAACTTAAGCAGTTTGAACCTTTAATTACAGCAATTAAGAGTTTGTCTCTTTCGGTTTTGGTCACCAAATGAAGAACGTCTAGTTACAAATGTAAATAGAGTTATATGTTCTTCCTCTCTCTCTCTCTAAAACATATAAACATTGTGGATCCGCGTATTACATTACCTCAGATAAAAACAAGCTCCATATGTCCCCAATCTATTTTACTTCCATCTCAGGAACAACATCAGATTGTCATGTGTAACGAGTCCCTTCTGTTTCGCATTCGCAATCTCTGAAAAATAAGGCGGAAAATTGTTTATCACTGTAATGGAAAATAAGAGGTTTTATGGGGCCACACATACAGATGTAACGCACACCATAAGCCAAACCAACTAATGTAAACAATCAGCTGCCACATTGTTCCACATAATGCGGCCATTTAGAGCACTATTAGTTTGAACAAAGATTTCTAAAACCACTTCCCAGTAACCCGGTACACCTTTCATGTAAGCTTTGAGTTACATTTTATAAAATAGAAAAAAGAAAAAAGTCTGTGCAAAATAAATACATGTTATATGTACATTTAAAGCTATCATTTATCCCAAACAAATGCATAGTAGGGAAAATAAACAACTATGGAAGTAATCGATATCCGACCTGTCCTCTTGCCAGGAAAAATACAGCATTTGTACCACTTATTGCATTTCAGTATAACACAGGAATTAACAAAGGAGTTCAATCAATCTTCAGATTGTGCTCTTTCAAACATTTTGCCTATATAAAGCAAATCCTCTTCGAAACATATCATAGTTGGACTTCATCCAACTCTTTGGTGTTCTGAAGCTACATTTAATTTTCTAATTACCCGGCGGCTCCCGCACAAATTTCTGAAGCTCTGTTTCTTATCAAGTGCTGCTTTTAAGAGACATTAACTCATTGTGACTCAGCGTTTGTGGCTCACATTCTCATGACTGTTCTGCAGTTTGGTTCTACGACCAAGACTACAGCGCATTTTATGATTTACCTTGTGATACAAGTATGAGTAGTCATTTACAGGAATATTCTGGGTTCAATAAAAGTTAAACTCGTTGATAGAACCTGTGGCATAATGTTGATTACCATAATTAATCAACTTCCAAAATCTGGGTTCAATGGGGCCAATCTTGTAAACGTTAAAATTCTCAATGTTTCAATAGTATAGCCACAAGATCATGTGTTTAACATGATCAACATTATGCCACAAATGAAGTCAATTAATCTTAACTTGTATTAAATCTGTAATATTGCTTTAAAGAAGATTAAAACAGCCCACAAGTTCATGAACGTTGTACATTTTACATGGCACCTCCATTCTACAATGTAAAAAAAGGCACATTAAAAGTAGTTATGTCATAAATGATGACCTCAAAGTATGCAGACAAACAAACAAACATGTCAAAAGAATGTCCCATCTGGCAAATGAGCCAAGTTCTCATCAATTAGCTGGTTTTGTGACCACAGGAGCCGTACTGACGGCAGGGTTTGGTCCCGTTGTACCTGATGAACTGCCAAAACCCAAGATTAACCAACACACCCAAATTCTAATTAGTATCATCAACAGAGGTCCTGATAGCCCTCCCGCGGCACCGTCAGAACAACGAGAGCGGGTGGCTCTAGTTCTGATGTCTTTTCATGTGGAGGGCCAGGTGGTCCGATCGGGAGAAGCAACGGCTACATACGGCGCACTGGAAAGGTTTGGCCCCCGTGTGCTTCCTGAAGTGGCGCGTTAGCTCGTCAGAGCGGGCGAATCGCCAGTCGCACCCCTCCCATGAGCACTTGTATGGCTTTTCGCCTGCAACAAAACACAGGCCAATACAGGTTGAGGGGAGAACACCACAAAAATTTGATGAGATAAAATGCTGTGTACTGCATAATAATGGCAAGAAAAGCTCTTTCTGTAGAGTCACACTCATAGGCTGCACACAATAAGCCTGACTAGTATAGTCTGGTTCACAAACAAATGTCAAATCTGGTTCTTTTTAGTGAATCAAATAAATGGAACAATCACTGTAGTACCTTTCATGACCAAATGAGCCAGTCCTTTAAATGAATCATTCAAAAAGACTCAGACAAGTAATCAGTCTTATGAATCCTTCACCATATCTGTGACTTCAGTTCATCACTTCAGTTGGAAAAGATAAGTTTTAGTTGTGTTGATTAGTATATCTGTTAAATAAATAATAGAACCGCATAGTTTGGGTTGTTTTTAGAAGGTTCCTTGTAAAATGTTCAGCATTTTCTGAGAGAAAATTTGCGGACTAAATGGCCTAAATGACTGTAATCGCTGGTTTTATTACTAATGTATGTTTTTTATATTAAATTAAATGTTATTGTCACACAAATATGTGACAGCAATACCACACTGACGATTGTGTGAACAGCTCTCATTTTGTGTGATAACATTTATTAAATGTCCTACCTGTGTGAGTACGTAAATGGGCCTTCAAATGTGAGGACTTGGTGTAGACCTTCTTACATCCTGATGCATAAGAATACAATAAATGTTAATACATACCATAACTTTTAAGTTCATATACATTATATAAACATTATTGGGATAGTTTGCCAAAAAAAAAAAAATTCTGTGAATGAATTTCACACTTCGTTCCAAACCTGCATGACTTTCTGTCTTCTGAGAAACACAAACGCAGATATTTTTGGAAAAAGTCAGTGTCTTTGTCCATAAAAAAGGGAAAGAAGTTATTCAAAATAGTTTATTTTGTGTTCCACAGAAAGAATAATGTCACGTAGGCTTGGAACAACACGAGGGTGAGGAAATTTCCATTTAGGGGTGAACTACCCTTTGAACTAACATTCTGGCCAGCTCGGACTTGTCCAGCAGCCTCATCTACAATGTCAAAAGGTTTCACCATTGTGTCCTAAGCCTCTTAGTCAGTCAAAGTCCAACCTAGAGACCAGTAATTGCCCAAAGTTTAGTCATGTCAGTCCTCAATATCTTTTCAACAACATTAAATCATCTGAATAGTGATTTAAGCCTGCACTGCGTCATATAGACTATGTGGAAAAAGCCGCAGCTTCCTATCAATGCACTGAATGTTATTTCAAATAAAGTGTGTATACTATAGTCACAAACTAAAGTGTCTAGATGCTAAATTCAATCTCACCTGGTACATCACAGTGATGTATTCTCCTTTTGTCTAGATCGGGATTGTTTCTGCGGTTGTATTGGGCAGGTACTGCTTGTGTTTGGACAGAAAGTGCTGGTCCAGGGGTAAGACCTGCCATTTTAGACGCCATGTGTTCCACAGAAAGAATAATGTCACGTAGGCTTGGAACAACACGAGGGTGAGGAAATTTCCATTTAGGGGTGAACTACCCTTTGAACTAACATTCTGGCCAGCTCTGACTTGTCCAGCAGCCTCATCTACAATGTCAAAAGGTTTCACCATTGTGTCCTAAGCCTTTTAGTCAGTCAAAGTCCAACCTAGAGACCAGTAATTGCCCAAAGTTTAGTCATGTCAGTCCTCAATATCTTTTCAACAACATTAAATCATCTGAATAGTGATTTAAGCCTGCACTGCGTCATATAGACTATGTGGAAAAAGCCGCAGCTTCCTATCAATGCACTGAATGTTATTTCAAATAAAGTGTGTATACTATAGTCACAAACTAAAGTGTCTAGATGCTAAATTCAATCTCACCTGGTACATCACAGTGATGTATTCTCCTTTTGTCTAGATCGGGATTGTTTCTGCGGTTGTATTGGGCAGGTACTGCTTGTGTTTGGACAGAAAGTGCTGGTCCAGGGGTAAGACCTGCCATTTTAGACGCCATGCTGGCAGCATATGACGGAGGTGGCGATAAGTTCTGTATGAGTTCTTTCCTCCTGTCTGGGCTGCCCGGTTCTGAGTTTGGAGGGGAGGGTGGTAGATAGGCCGCCCTCTTCTGAGGATGCTGACCAAACTGGGTAGGTAGCGAATATCCACTGTTGCTCATATTACAATGCGGTCGTTCTGCAATCCGGCTGGGGTGTGTGTGAATGCCATTATACGTCGACATCGGAGGGCATGTGGCATTGTGGGAATCTGTGCAAGGGTGGCCACCATTGGGCTCGAGCTCCGAATTCAACAGCTGAAAAAGTGGAACATCTGGGAATTCGAGGGACGGCGTCTCATGCTTGACGTAAACATTGCTACCCGTTTCCGTAGCTGGGCTGTAGAGGTTTGTGTACTCTGGATGCGTAATGGCGGGTGCAACCGAGCCGTGGCAACTGGAGTGGTTGAAAGACGAATGCAGAGGTTCTGTCTTTATCTGTTGCGCCGCAGACCTCACGGGTCTACACATGCCAGTCCGTAGGTAAGTGACGTCCGGTAAAAAAACATTCATGTTTATGCTGTATGGCGTGCCTTGGTCCATCGTGAGGGAATTGTCTTGACAAAACTTCTTATGGTCTGACAACGCATAAAACTGAGTCGGCAGGTATCCATCCATGTTTCTTTTGATCTGAGGGACAGAAAAAAAATTGGTTTTCATTCACCACAAAAACATACAATACATGAACAGAAACAAGTTTGTTGTTTCAACAATCCTTGAAAATATAGCAAAAATCTAGGTTTAGGTGGTTAGCATGTCCCTGTTAGCCAAATGCTGTATCTGTAATCTTGCTGTATTCTACGCAAATATTATGTTATTGTTTTACCATTGTCTGATTCTTTATTGTGCTTTTAAAAGCACAAACTGGTTGCTCTGTGAAGGTTTTGGGTCTCTGTGTGCGTTCTTAAGGTGTCATCAGCATGATACTCTACAGTCATTAGTCACATGGTATTTATCACTGAGCTGATTGGCTTAAAGCATTGCATACATCCAGCCAAGCAACAGTCATTGACATGGTAATGTTAATGTATAGCTTTCTTCACTTATTATAGGCCTATATAACCCTCTGGCATAAATCCTTTAAGCTTTCTAGTAAAAAATGCAGAAATTCCTGAGAATTTCAAGACAAGTTTAGAGGAATGCATCTTCAACCTGACTGACTTTTTTTGTCCACTGTGTTCACATGTATATCCACACTCTTAAACTCAAAGATCAGCTCAAACTTATTAAAATTTCTGCCAATTTCAAGTCAGCTTGTGTGCATCTCTAAATACTCAGGCTTGTTGCTACCTTACACCGAAGAAGGAACCCCCATAGAGGCTCTCTCTCTGCCATCCATAAACTAGGAAATACTCCATCTGAATTTAGAGCCTACAGCTGCTCTGCTGTTATGGAGTTTTCAGATTAAGGTCAGCGCAGAGTTCGGTGCAATTCATCCAGCATGATTCATACATACAATATAACGTACTGGAGAACACCATTACAAAACATTACTATAAAATAGAAGCTGTTCAGCGATTATGTTATGTTTTAGATCAAAAGCATAAACAACACAGGCATTTCGGAAAGCTTGCCACCCAGCACTGTTTACCAATGTAACATGCGATTACAGATTCACTCTACCAGAATGTGATGCTTTGATGGAGTGTCATTAAATCCACTGTAATCGTCCTCTCTCAATGCCTCGTTCAGTTCTTAGAGGTGTTTTATTCTAGCCGTGGATCCTGCTCAACAAAGCGTTTCCCATAACCTCATGTCCTCTGCTGAAATAAGCTGGAGATCACGTCATTCAATATGCCGCAAACGAGAAGGAAACACGACCGTCAGCCAGAGATGTCAAGCGCTTTACACGTTTGACGAGACAAATTACGCAACTGCCTCGTTTCAATGGCTCAAAACGGGGCGGGGCTTTATCATCATACATTAATAATAATAATTCACCCAAACAGGTTTTCAGGATCTGCAATAGTCTTGCAAAGAAAAGAAAGAAAGAAAAAGAAAAAAACAACAACTTGGGGATGCACTGTAATAAAAATGTATGTAAATGTATTATTATTTATGATTAAAACTGGCTGTTGTAGTTGCCAGAACTTTACCATACAAATACAGATCTTTTGGTGTTGTATACGCCATTAAATCATATAATTTTTTAATATACCAACCTATTTTAGCTATTAAAAATATTTGTACGTATAAAAGCACAGATGTAACCTGAAGTTTAGCAAAATTGGCCTCTCCAGCAACAGTGACAAATAAAGTTTCCAACATACAAACACAAAACACTAAAATAACATAATTCCCACTTAAATAAAGCAGTAAACATGAACTAAAACTAAAATTAAAATAAAATTCAACACTCCAATTCAGATAAATGTGAGGACCTAGAGGAATATTATTTATTCTATAAGGATATTTTTTGCCTAAAAGGTGGGATACGGTGAAAAAAAGTAATAAAAAATAACTTACTGCTGTAAAACAATACATACTGTATTGCCATATTGAATATAAATGGTCCTTTTTTGTAAATTTTTAGGTAATTTATGCTTATTAAAAACTATCTATCTATCTATCTATCTATCTATCTATCTATCTATCTATCTATCTATCTATCTATCTATCTATCTATCTATCTATCTATCTATCTATCTGTCTGTCTGTCTGTCTGTCTGTCTGTCTGTCT